CAGTTCACTCACCTCGGCCTCCCAAAGCGTGGGATTACAGGCTGAGCCACTGAGCCTGGCGGATCCTGCGTTTCTAACCAGCATACAGGTGATGCTGATGCCACCTTTCCAGACCACACCTTGAGTAGGAAAGTGCCAGAGTACATTGTCTTCTCTGTAGCCACCTAACCTAGCCCTGCCAGCCATAGTTCCTGCTTCTCTTCATCTTGCATAGCTCATGGAGGTAGAGCCAGCTGCTGGAAGGTGGCTTGGCAGGCTAGCCCTTGGATCAGGGGTTCAGACCTGCACTTGGACTCCACTTCTCTCCCTCATGCATTCACCCAGGCCTGTCACTACCAGAACCAGGGTGGAAGGTCAATGAGACCCTTAGGGGTAAACGTGTGACTAGGTTATCTGCACAGCTAGGTTATCTGCACAGCCTCACTGCTGGACTGGTTAAGCAGGCTCTGAGCATGTCGCACCCATGGACCTTCTGGTGGACCACCTGTGGGCAGAGCCCTTCACACACAGCAGCTACTATGGGAACAGGGAGGTGCTCTGAGCGGGGCAGGAATCCCGGGTTTCAACCCTGGCTCTGCCACCTACGGCCTGGGTAACCCTGAGCCAGTCAGTATCTCTCTCTGGGCCTCCATCTCTCTGACTGCCTACTGTACTAGATGATCCCAGAGGGCCCTCAGACTCCCCTATGGGTCGTTGGGCAAGTCTGGAGGTGGCAATGTCCTGTGCAGATGGAACTCTTATTACAAAGGAGTAGAAGGAACAATTCTGAGCCGAGCCCCTGGAATGACTGACTCTGTGGCCCAGCCTGTTTATTTGTTTTTGTGAGTTCACGTAAGCACCCACCCCAGGTATGCCTGTGAAGTTATTAGATGCTACTGAGCACAGGAAGTGCTGTGCACCTGGGATCACATAGTGCAACCAAGGCTTGGATTGGGTCTGACTCTTCTGCTTGGTATACAAGCTCCTTCTCTCTGATCTGTCACCCCAGGTATAGGGGACAAGATTGGTGTGTCCGCCCTGAGGCCTAGCATTTCCTACCTACATCCTAAAAGCAATTGCTTCACTTTCAGCTGATGAGGAGAATGTGCCTTTCTAAACTCTGCTGTGACCTTGCTGCTCTACAGACTTTGAAAAAAACAAAGGCTTGAGTGTAAGCCTCTAAACCCCTCTCTCGTGTAGATAAGGGTGAAAGGTCATGAGACCCTCAGAGACAAGATCGTGACTAAGCCATCTGTGCTCTGGACCTTGCACAGAGCAGGTGGTGTGAAGAAATGATTGACCAGCACTCAGCAGGTGCTTGGTGAAGATGTATTGACTAAGGGCTTGGGGGGGAGGCAGGGAGGGCTTAGCAGAAGAGGGATTTGAGGTGGCCTGCTCCATTCATCTAACTGCTGGGGAAGTGGGCTATGGATTGGGAACTTTGCCCATATTCCTTCCCAGTGCTGCCTCTCTTGCAGTCACCAGGCTTCCTGGTCAGTCCCATTGCCCATCAGCTGCTGGAGTCCAGGGTGTCATCCTGGGGGCACAGAGCCCATGAAGTAGGCACATCTTGCCCTAACTTCTAGGCTTGACATTTGCTTCATAGCGAACATAATTACAGCCCTTGGTGTCCTCCAGGCTGCCTGAAGCTCACTGGCCACTGGGCCCTTTGGGGGAGCGAAGCCAGCCTCCCTCACCTGATACCTCTGGGCTCCACACATTGGGCCCTGAGGTGAAGCTGAAAGAGTAAAAGCTCTCTGAAGGTGGTAGTGGTTGGCGGAATTGGCAATGTTGGGGGTGGGAGCAAGAGGGCTCAGCTCCTTAGAGAAGGGGTCTCAGTCCCAGGCTAAGGGTGCGTGGCAAGGATTGGGGATGCTCAAAGTACACTTGGAAAAGAAAACATTGCAAATTGGATGTTGAACTTCTGTCCTTGGCCTCACTGACACAAATAGCACCGATTAAATATTTGTACAAGATGCGGATAAAGGCTAAGGCCAGGAGTTTGACTGGGGCAGAGGGGAGGGTGGAGAACTGGCAAGTGCAGGGCATCTTGCTGAGGCCCAGCACCTGGCTTGCCTCCTTAGATTCCTCATTGGTCTCTAGAATGGCACCCCCAAAGCCCATGCTTTCCCATAGTGCCACCAGCAGACACTTTCCTGTGGTGTATGGAGAAACAGGGACCCAGGGAGGTGTGTAAACAACCCAGAGTCACAAAGCCGAGGGGTGGCAGGCCCTGGATCTGAACCCAGGTCTGTCTGGTTCTGGGGTCCATGCTCCTATGGGAGGGCCTCTGGGAGGGTGGGCTGGGACCCCTGTGGCTGGTGGACCTGTTGACGGTGGGCTGACGTGCCCCCTCTCTGCAGGTGCCGGCTCCAGCATCCTCTCTGCCCTCCAGGACCTCTTCTCCATATCCTGGTTCAACAGGTCCAAGGTAGAGAAGCAGCTGCAGGTCATCTCGGTGCTGCAGTGGGTCCTGTCCTTCCTCGTACTGGGTGAGCGGGGGCCTAGTGGAAGGGTGGGCACGCAGGCGGGACTACCTTCCCAGCAGATATTGGAGCAGGAGCTCTGCTCTGCAGGAGCAAGGGGCTACGAGCAGCCCTTACACGGGATGTCCCACAGCATCATCCCACTTCCACCTTTTGGGTTCCAGACAAAGTACTCTACCCCTGGGCACGCATGAGGATTCACTGAGGCTCAGGGGAGGTGGTGGCATGGTTCCCATTTCACTGATGGGAAACCTCATGTCTTCAAGAAGGTAGGTCACTTGCCCAAGGTTACTTAGATTCAAATCCAGGTCTGTAGCATCCCCAAAGCCCATGCTTTCCCACAGTGCCACCCAGCAGACACTTTCCAGCAGCCATACTACTGTACCTTGGGGAGGTGTGGTGCCAGGCTTAAGTCCTGAATCTACTGCACACAAATGCTGTGAATGCCCAGGTTACTTGCGCTCTCTGAACATCACCTTCCTCATTTCAAAGGTGAGGAAAATGCTTACTTCACGTGGCTTTTGTGGGGACTGAAGATCAGGAATGAGAATGCCCGACACAGGGCCTGGTGGGTCCCCATGATGTGGGCGCTGTTGTCGGGACGCACCCTCTGACCCCACGCCCAGCCCTCGCCCATCCTCCCCAGTACTTCTCGAGCCTGCTCCCTTCTGTCTCAACACCGCCCACGTTGGCTATGTTTTCTGCAGCTCTGGCTAAGTCCCCGCACTCACTGGTTTGCCATCCACGCCAGGGGCAGGACAGTGTGGATAGTGAGAGGGGAGAAAGCCTAGGCTCTCTGTCCTCTGCTCTCCTAGAAGCCTCCTCTTCCACAACCCCTGTGTCCTCAGCATAGCAAGTAACTTCCCCAGCATGTCAGGGCAGAGGAACTCACAGAGTACACTCCAGCACCTGTGAACCCGTTCCTCTGGGTGACACAGTCTTCCAGAATGCACATGCTGGTAGGGGGTCATCAGGAGTTGCCATGTCAGCATTGAGCCACCATCCTTCTAGCGGGCACAGGGAGGGGGCTCTGAGACCATGTGTGCAGGGCAGAGGGATGGGAGAAGGATTCTGTTTATCAGATCCCTGCTTTGCGGGTAAAGACATGGAAACTCAGAGGTTCAGTGACTTCCTGAGACTGAAGCTCATTAAATGGCAAAGTTGGGTTTGGAGCAGAAGCTCCCCTGGGGAGCTCACCTTACCAGAAGCCCAGAGTTAGCAGACCCGGGCTGAAACAGCCAATCTTCAACCTTAGTCCCAAGAGTGGGCTTTGGGTGGGGAGGGGTCCCCATGAACTAAAAGTAGATGAAAAATTATATGTGGGCCAGGTGTGGTGGCTCACACCTATAATCCTAGCACTTTGGGAGGCCAAGGTGAAGGGACTGCCTGAGCCCATGGGTTTGAGACCAGCCTGAGCAACATGGTGAGACCTCATCTCTACAGTAAATCAAAAATTAGCCAGGCATGGTGGCACATGCCTGTAGTTCCAGCTACTTGGAAGGCTGAGGTGGAAGGATCACCGGAGCCCAGTAAATTGAGGCTGCAGTGACCGTGAGCAGAGCACCACTGTATTTCACCATGGGCGACAGAATAAGACTTCAACTCAAAAAAATTGGCCGGGCTCGGTGACTCAGCCTGTAATCTCAGCACTTTGGGAGGCCGAGGCAAGTGGATTGCCTGAGCCCGCAGGAACTTGGCAAGACCTTGTCTCTACAATAAAATAAAAAATTAGCCGGGCGTGGTAGTGTGCGCCTGTAGCTCTGGCTACTTGGAAGGCTGAGGTGGAAGGATAGCCAGAGCCCAGCAGGTCCATGCTGGAGTGGCTGTGAGAGTGCCACTGCATTCCAGCTGGGGCAATGGAGTAAGACTCCAACTCAGAAAAAAATTCATATATGAGAGTCTTGCACATTTTTCTGTGGAGAAAGGCCTCCATTCTTACAGGGACATGAAGAAGACCTCAAAATGGCCTCAAAAAGACAGGAAGCACTGGGGTGGGGAGCAAAGCAAATCCAGCTGACTCCCTCAGGGCTCAGACGTCCCACCTGGCTTGCATGTGGCCACTTATTAGAGTCCTGGGGTGGGGAGCACAGTGAAACTCCCTCCTTGTTCACGTAGGAGATGGAGGCCCGGTGAGGACAGAGCCTTGCTTAGGGTTACACAAGAAAAAGGTAGTAGGACCTGGGCACGGACCCAAGGACTCCAGCCTCCCATACTCCCACTAGAGCCACATCGGCTCCCTTTACTCCTAGTTGTGCCAGAAGCTGTCACTATCCCTGTCTCAGAAGGTCAGGGCTTGACTGGCAGAGCGGAGCAGCTTGTGGATCCCCAGCCCACACAGTGCCATGGGGACTGGCCCCAAGCTGTGGGTTAACAAGTGATCAACCACAGCCCAGAAACTGGCCCAGCACCTTCTCAATGGCCTCACCTAGGTGGGAGCCAGGCCCAGCTGGACAGGCAGGTCTGAGCTGCTGCTAATTATTACCTTGAGCTGCGTTAGCCATTGCCTTCTTCTGTTTCTCAAACCTGCTGGCAGAGGCTCCGAGTGTTGCAGACTACGGTGGCCCCATTGGTCTCCCTCTGGACCAGAGGTTTTTTCCCATGTTTGTACCATAGAGCCTTCTGGCATTCTGAGGAGAAAGGGGACCCAAGGCAAGCTGCAAACAGCATGACCTCGTAAGCAGCCTTATATTCACACACAGCTTCCCCAAGTATTTTACGCCTGGCCTTTATTTATTTATTTTCATTTTTTGAGTTGGGATCTCGCTCTGTCCCCCAGGCAGGAGTGCAGTGGCATGATCATGGCTCATGGCAGCCTTGACCTCAGCCTCCTGAGTAGCTGGGGCTATAGGCATGTACCACCACACCTGGTTGATTTTTTAATTTTTTGTGGAGATGAGGTTTTGCTATGTTGCCCGGGCTGGTCTTGAACTCCTGGGCTCAAGCAATCCTTCTGCCCAGGTGCTGGGATCACAGGTGTGAGCTACTGTGCCTGGCCTTATAGTTGGCCTTTCACAGGATCCTGTGGGCTGCAGATGCTTCCCTAGAGACTCATCTTCCCTCTCTGTGATGTCACACTCCTAAGCTGTCCTGAAAAACTGGACACCTGGTCACTCTGTGTTCACTGCCCCTCCTAAGAAACTGTACCCTGCTTTTAGCTACCCTGGGGAGAGGCTGGCTCAGGAATCTAGAACAGGACTGGATTGGAGATGAAAAGAGGCCCCCAGTCCCTTGTCCTTAGGCTCACAGAGAGCCTGCGTCTGGCCTGCCTTCTCTCACAGACAAGGAGACAAGGTTTAGCATGGTGGAAATGAGAGAACATGGAATCCCAGAGCCATGCAGACCTTGGCACCCATGACTGGCTTGGTGTCCAGCAGGGGTGGGCACTCAGCAAGGTCTGGCCTCCTTCCCTGGGCCATTGAGAGGGTGCTGGAAAGAGGCCACGCTGTTTCTACCAGGCTGCAGTACCTGCTGCCCCCGGCCATGTACCTAGTGGGGAATTCGGAGTGAGACATCACGTATGGGTGGTATGACATTGGGAAACACTTCATGAAGAGATGAGGTCTGAACTAGACCCGAAGGCTGGGTAAAAATTGGAAAAAGAGATGCCTTGATGAGGGTATCTAGGGTGAGCCATGCATAAACCAGGCTCAGCACGAGCTTTTCTTCCTTTCTGTGCCAAGTTATTTTCCCTTACGGCCGGCTGGCCCAGAATATGGTGACTAAATGGAAGCCAGCTCCTAGGTGAGTCTCCCAAGTGTCCTGCTGGGGTTTGTGAGAGAAGTAGGCTGATTGGCTTTGGCCTTGGACTGCCTGGCCCTCTGCTGTATCAGAAGGGGGCCAGCCCTCCTTCTGGGGCAGGAATTCCCTCTCAGGTCCCTCTGGGGATGGTCTGGGACTTCTCAGGTTTGGTGAACAACTGAAGCCTGGCTCAGAATGTGGACTTTAGAGTCAGACCTGCATCTGCATCCTGGCTCTGGCACTGTCCTGTGATAACCTTTGGCAAGTTATCTCCCCCTTGAACCTCAGTGTTCTCATCACTAAAATGGGCAAAGCAGTCTCACCCCTTGCCATGTGATGCCCTATGATGTCTCAGGACCCTCAGAATCCCCACTGGCAAGAGGTCCCTCCTCAGATGTAGCCCTCAGCCTTGGATTTCTCAGTCTCCGTGACTGGAAGAAATAAACTACTTTCAAAAAATAAAAATAAAATGGGGCAAAAGTCACCCTGCCTCACCCTTGAGACTTGACTCAGCCCACATCTTGAGACCCACAGGCACCTGGCAGGAGCCCCCCCCTCCTTACCCACAGTCACTGTGCCAGGGGGTGGTGGAGGGGACAATAAGGGCAGCATCATAAGAAGCTGAAGTCTGCCTCCTTTGGTGCTGCTGCCCAAACCCCACGGATCCCCTGTGCCCCCAGCGCCAGGACGGCCCATCAGGGCCAGGGAGGTGCACCTTGGGTCCCGGGAGCCTGCTCCCCGAGCTCTGCATTCCGTGGCTCCAGCCAGGCCTGGCTTAGTGCCACAGTAAGCATTCACCCCACCATTGCCCGGAGGGGAGCTGAAGCCCACCATGAGGCCAGGGCCTGACCCAACTGTCTGTCCCCAGGAGTGGCCTGCAGCATCATCCTCATGTACACGTTCTGCACTGACTGCTGGCTCATTGCTGTGCTCTACTTCACCTGGCTGGTGTTTGACTGGAACACACCCAAGAAAGGTAGGTGCAAAGTCCTGGTACCACTCCCACGCCCTTGGCGCGCTCTCCCTCCCACACAGACTCAAGTTCCTCATGGGGGATGCTGTGTCTTTTAATTTAACATCTCTTCTGTGAAAACCACTGGGCTAGTCCAGTGTGCGGTTTGGGTCGGGGGTCAGAACTCCCCAGAGGGCACCATTCTGCTCCCTGCAGGAGCTCACGTCTAGTCAAGGGTTTGCATGGGAAAAGAATATGGAGCCACCCCACAGAAAGGGGCTAGGAGTGCTGTGTGGGGTGATAGCCACCTGCCTCGGGCTTCAAACTGGCTCTGTCTTGTCTGCCTTGTCCAAACTTCCCCCACTCCCACTTTTTCCCAACACTGTGTTTTGTTCCCTGGAAGGTGGCAGGAGGTCACAGTGGGTCCGAAACTGGGCTGTGTGGCGCTACTTTCGCGACTACTTCCCCATCCAGGTAAAGTCTCGTGGGTGTTTTCTTGGAAGGGTGGGAATGGGTGGGAAATCTGAACCAGGCTTTAACCCACCCAGCCACAGTGACCCCCCCCAACATGTGCTGAATCAAACCATGTGGGATCTCCCACTATGAGCATTTGTTCATGCCATGCCTTGCTTCGTGTAGGATTTGAGGCAGCTTAGGATATATATAATGCCATACCAGGGCCAAGAGAAAAATCTGGAATTGAGGGGAAAATACTAGTATTTTAGCCATGAGGGTCAACAGAGTTGACCTTCAGTTGAGGGTCATATTCATCTCTGAGCTTCCTGGAAGCTAAAGCAAAAAGGGAAATGTGACAGTTGTTAGTAGCTTCTTATTGGGAGAAAGGAGAAAACTTACTGGCTCATTGGGGGAAGCAAGACTTGTACTGGCGTTTGGATCTAAGAGAAGTTTCACCTGCGGAACCTACAGGATGTAAGAAGCAGGTGTAGGCCAGGTGCAGTGGCTCACTCCTATAATCCTAGCACTTTGGGAGGCAAAGTTGAGGCTGCGGTAGCTGAGAGTGTGCTGCTGCCCTCCAGCCTGGGTGACAGACTCCAACTCAAAAAAAAAAACAAAAACAAAACAGGTGTAATAACATACGTTATGACCGTTGTATGCCTGTCCTTCAGCGAGCATTAAGGGCAAGCTTGAAATAGAGATGATTTATCAAGAGCAATATGAAGGTAGTCCAGGATTATCTGACCTAACCAGGGGCAGGACTTGAAGCAATAGGTGGAAAGGAATTTCTTTCCTTCCAGAGGCCTTGCAGAAGTAGCCCTTTTCTTAGCCAGTTGCAGGGGGCGATTCCTGTGGGAATAAGGGCCCAGGCAATGTGATGTTGGGTGAGAGAGGGCGAGAGCCTGGGGCTAAAGTGACTGGGGAAGGCTTCTGGAGGAGATGCTTCTAGAAGGCCACCTGAAAGGATAGGCAGCCCTGAGGAGGCAGGGGACAGTGAGTGCACAGGAGGAGAAGCCTGTGGTAGAGGAGGTGGTGCAGAGGCAGAGAGAAGGGGCACCCACTTATTAGGAGCCGTACCCTTCCCCAGGGAGTCTTCTGTAATCCTCACAGCACCCTGAAAGGCAGGCAGAAACGTTTTACAGAGGAGGACGCTGATGGTCAGAGTAGTGAGGCTGATGAGGGGCTGAGCTGAGGTTCCCATTGCTGTCGTGCGTTAAAGCCTGGGCTCTTCCCACCGTAGCTGCTGCCTCTTGGTGCAGCCGAGGCATGGGAATACACTTGGGCAGGTATTCAGGCTTCCCACAGGCTTAGGATATAGACACAGCAAAAGCTCAGTATGACCCTGGGCGAGATGCTGTCCCTCCGGGGCTCAGGCTCCCAGGTACAGCAGGTTTAGGTGAGCTGGATTCCAGGCTTCCTGCCTGCTCACTGTGGGCCGCTCTGCGACCCCCACACTGCTCTTCTGAGGTCCTCTTGATCTCAGGGCCAGCCCTGAGGTCCTGACAGAGTAAGTGTGGCTCATCAGGCTTTCAGTCCCAGGGCCTGGTCTGCAAGCTGAGCAGGCGAGGTAGAGCCATCTGAGCTCTGATGCGTGTAGGCGATGCTGGTGGATTGGGGCTGACGGGTGGAATCCTGAAGGTTCTCCCTGGAGGGGAAAGACCAGTCTGGCTAGCTCACTCAACACCCCAGCCCTGGCATGCCCTACTGCTGATGTAACCCACAACCCACAAAGACAGTGGGGCTGAAGAGGGAAGGCAGCCTGTGTGAGTGTGAAAGTGGCCTGCGTAGTGCCGGGTAGTATGCGTTTGCTGTTGTGAGTCAGTGAAGGAGACGTCTTGGTGTGCTGCCTGGGGAATGGTGGCTGGGTACCCCTACATTCTTCCACTGTCTTTGGTATTGTTGGGGTGGCAGGGCCGGTGCCTTCTGCCTACCCTCAGCCTAAGCTAGGTACTTTCAGGATCTCCCTGCTCCTCAAGGTCAGGGTTTCCTTTCCCTTTTCCGACCTCATTTGACTACAGAAAATCCAAGCCTGTTGTTTCCAGAATGATACTACCTTGTAGGACCCAACCCTCTTATTTGGAAGGTAAAAAACTGGGTCCCGAAGAAGGGGCAAAGACTTGTCCAGACTGCAGTTGAGTATGATGGCAGCATTAGAATTAGAATCCAGGCTTCCTGAATTTGGGCCCAGGTTCTTTTTTTTGTTTGGCTTATATATTATAAAGGATATTGCAAAGGATACAGATGAACACTTGTAGGGCAAGGTATGGGGGGAGGGCACGGTGCTCCATGCCCTCCCTGGATGCCCTCTGCCTCTGTCCAGGAACCTTCATATCAGTTACCAGGAAGCTCTCCGAACGCAGTTCTCTAGGGTTTTTTGGAGACTTCATGAGGTCAGCACTCCTTCCCCTAGTGCATAGGGCGGGACCCTCTCTGGGAGGTTCTTAAGACTCACAGTCAGAAGAGCTGGAGATCAAAGTCCTGCCTTGGGGCAGGTAAAAGAAGGGACAGAGAAGGCCAGAGAAGTTCTGCTTCTAAGGCCTGTCCTGAGGCCTGCCACGCCCTACAGTGTAACAAAAAACTGTGACAAGGGCTATAGGTGTTATGAGCCAGGAACTGTGGGTGAAAATCAGTATCTATAGCATAACATCCCAGGCCACGCCTTGATTTTCCACCTGGGATCACTTATGTCAAAAGAATATACACAGTCAGTAATAATCAGTCTGGTCCATCCTATTGCGTGGAGGTCTCCCAGGGTGAGACATTCAGAGTTGCAGGTTTCCCTTCAATCCTGTCGGTTCCAGAAGCAGAAGTGGTCTTGATAAACACAGCTTCATTTTTCCAGGCACCTGGAATGATGCAGCTGAGAGACAACATCATCTTTTGCTCTAGCTTCTTCCAAGGTGTGAATGTAATGTTGGGGTTCCCCCAACTTATAACCCATTTAGCCATTCCTTTGCTCTGTTAGTGCCCAAACTCTTCCACTTTGGAAGGGACATTAGAATTGCCACTGTGGTGGTCTAGATTGCAGGCATCACTGCTAGGCTACATGTGCCTTCTCCTTGTCCACTCCCATTCAGACATGGTGTGGTATGCAGATGCAGAACTAGTGAGCTGTTTTTTATCGTCAGGCAGCGTGACTGCATTCACTCTTTGTCTCAGTTTTGCCAGATGGAGTGAAGGCACAACCTACCCCCATCAGGCCCTCAGGAATTCTGACATACAGTTGAAAGCCTAGTTACATTTTCTTGCTTAGAAATCATTCCTGCTTCCAGTACTTGTAGCTGCAGCCCTAGTCCTAAGGCCACTGCATCAGATATGGGGGAAAAAATGCCTTGTGTGGTGGTGGCTGGGTATGGTTGGAGTTGTGGCAGTAAAAGTTTTCACCAAGACAGTGGTGAATTAAGAAAGGTAGATTCATTAAAAGGAAGATACGTTGTGAAGGGTACAACAGATAGAGGCAGCATTGAGTGTCTGCTGTCTGCAAAGAGGCAGGGGCTAAGGGGTATTTTTATAAGAGAGGTATCAGGGTTTAGCTGCCGGGAATTGTCTTGGGGTGGAGGGGGGGTTTGCCAAAGGAAATTGCCAGAGGTTCTGAAGCAGCTGATTGGTTGTGGTATTTTGTTTCTTTAAGATAGGGTTAATGAGCAGCAATAGTTAACGAGCAACAAATGGTTAACTACTTTTTGTTTACTGCAAATGTGTTACAGCTAGCTAACCAGCCTTTATGACTCCTGCCCTTATCAGTAGGTTTCTTTTTAACATTTGTGAAATTTCATCCTGAGATTTCCTTCCTCGATATCATTTGCTCAACTGATGCTGGCCTAATTGGGCCTCATATTCCTCCACAAAAAATTTTTCCTTGGAGGTGATTTGGTGAAGAAAGAACAAATTAAAGTTGCTACACCAGTGCGCTCCTCCCTTAGCAAGATTTGCACAGTCACACCAGCATTCACCCTGCCCCCTCTTCCCCAGTCAACCAGAAAAACAGAAAAGTCTAGTGGGCACACTCCTTTAGTCCCACTTGTGTTGAGCGTGAGCACACACTCGTGAAGGCATAAGCCTGCCCTTCACGCTCTCATTTCCCCATTTTAGACAGCTAGTGTTCCAGTTGCCCATTCTACTCTCAAACGTGGAGGAGGATGGGATAGCTTTCTGCCCATTCTTGATCATTGTGGGCTGTACAGCATGTTTCTTGGTCCGAAAAAATGATGGTCAGCCGCCCAAACCCACGATCTTCTGTTTCTTTTTTTTTTTAATGGCACTCTGAGCTGAGCATTTGCATTTTCCAAAGGACAAGCAAAGCCCAGTCTAGAATCGGTATCCACTGAGCATTTCTCTGACATCCCCTGAGACGTGGGCATTTCAGGCTTCAAGATCGCTGTCTGTCTTCCAGTCCTAAGGTTGCTTCAGTTAACGTCCCAGAGCAAGGCAGTAAGTGTCCCCTCAAGTGGAAATTCTCCAATCCATGGAAATTCTCCAGTCCAAAGGCCCAGTAGTCACCGCTGGGAGGTGCTCACAGGATTTTGCCATAAGCCCCGTAAATACTCCACATAAGGCTGTCACAGATGGAGAATTTGTCCTCACCAGCACTCCAGCTTCTACTCTGTACTGTGGGGGCTTGAGCACTCTGACTGATTCCCGTTCAGCATCTTCAATTACTAGTGTTTGATGGGTGGATTTACATGCCTTCTTCTGTCCAGTACTAGCTAGGGAAGCATTCCCCAGTCAGATCCAATGTCCATTCAGTAATTCAATCAGGCCGGGCAATGGTGGCTCGCACTTGTAATCCCAGCACTTTGGGAGGCCGAGGTGAGAGGATTGCCTGAACCCAGGGGTTTGAGAGCAGCCTGAGCAACCTGGCAAGATCTTGTCTCTACAATAAATTAAAGAAATAGCTGGGTGTGGTACCACATGCCTGCAGCTACTTGGAAGGCTGAGGCGGAGGCTACTTGGAAGCATTGCCTGAGCCCAGCAGGTTGGAGCACAGGAGGTGCCAGCCGGGCAATAAAGCGAGACAC